TTTTCTTCCTTTACCCCCACATCTGACTCATCAGCAAGCGTTATGGGCTCTTCTGCCAAACCATGTCCTCAATTCAAGCACTTCTATCCTTTATTACCATCCATCAGCTCATGTCACATTAATTCTCATCTGATTATTGCAATAACCTAATTTATCTCTCTGCTGTCATTCTGAAAATCCACCTTCCATACAGCAGCCCAAGTGAGTCGGGCACAGGAATGACAGCACATCACTCCCCTGCTTAAAGTCCTCTGAAGATTTTCTAAGCACTTAGACTAAAATCCAAGTTTTCTCTACAGCCTTCATGGTCCTTCATGACTTCACCTTTGATTATTCCTGACCTCAGGTTGGTCACACACTTCTCCTGACAATGCTCCAACAACTCTTTTCCCTTTTGTCTGCACTTCAGTCATGCCAATCCTGTTTGTACCCCAGGACCTTTGCACTGATTGCTTCCAGTGTCTGGGCTGTTCTTTCCCAAATTTCCATGTACCCATCATTTAGGCATCATGCCAGAGGACACTCCCGGGGTGCCTTCCTTAACACCCCGCCTTTATCACATCACCTGTTCCACCATCTCCATAGCAGAGAGGCTCAGGATGATACAAAACGTTGGTCTAAAAATTGCCTAGCAGCCAAAATGAACAAGCCAGAGAACTGTGGCACTGCAATTGTCTCCAAGGTTCTGCTCTTAAAAGGCACTTAGTGCATACCCAATTTTCACAAGCTAAGACAGAAAATGGGATCCAAACTCTACTAAGGAAAAGGTATTAAGATAGTGAGGGACACAAGGAATTATGGATTCCAAAGCACAGTAAAGAAGCCAGTATGGGTATTCAAACAACTATTATTGTTATTTTGTCAGCTGGCTGATAGGGATGGAACCCTGGGCCTTGGTGTTATCAGCACCACAGTCTAACCAACTGAGCTAACTGGCCAGCCCCAATCAATCATTTTTGAAAAAGTTTTCTTTGAAGTGTTTAAAATGAGTCCACAGCATTAATTCATGAAGATTGGGGCTGCAAGAATAAGGGAAGAGTATACCACCGACACATATTACAGAAAAAGGATGAAGAGGTCTTGATGTTGAAGAGATAAGAGAGAAAGTATAGGATTCTCTGATTAGAACTCAGGTGCTAGGGTGTGCGGGAAGGTAGTGATGCTACTTGTATCAATGAAGAAATTAGAAAGCAGAGAGCTTATGCAGGAAAAAATAATTTTGCTTTTTGAGTTAATATTTCATTTTAGGTTTGGGCCCACAATAAATGTGATATTCAATGGCCAATAAGAGATAAAACTACAAGTGAAATGAGATATCAATAAAAGGCCATATAGGGGCTGGTGGGTGAGCTCAGTTGGCTAAAGCGTGGTATTGGTAACATGAAGGTCAAGGGTTCAGATCCCCATGCCAGTCAGCCACAAAAAAAAAAAAAAAAAAAAAAAAAAAAAAAAAAAAAAAAAAAAAAAAAAAAAAAAAAAAAAAAAAAAAAAAAAAAAAAAAAAAAAAAAAAAAAAAAAAAAAAAAAAAAAAAAAAAAAAAAAAAAAAAAAAAAAAAAAAAAAAAAAAAAAAAAAAAAAAAAAAAAAAAAAAAAAAAAAAAAAAAAAAAAAAAAAATGGCTATATAAAGTTGGGATTTATCCCTTTACACAGGGCAATTTAAATGGCATATGCATTCAGTACATTTATTGAACTCCTAGCAGAGTGTGCATAGCTGAGACAGAATTACAGGCAGCTTCTCAGAGTTTCTAAGAATAGTACATTAACCAACAAGTTATCTGCTACATCAGGGATTGACACATCCAGTCTGTGGGCCAAGTCCAGACTGCTACCTCTTTTTGTATGGCTGGTGAGCTAACCATTTTACATTTTTTAAATGACTGAAAAAAAATCAAAAGAATAATATATGGTGACACGTGAAAACTATGAAATTCATATTTGTATCTATAAATAAAGTTTTACTGCAACAGTCATGCCAGTCATTTACATACTGAATATGGCAACTTTTGTGCTCCAACAGCCAAGTTCAATAGTTGTGACTGAGACCATGTGGCCCACAAAGGTGAAAAGATTTACCCTCTGGTCCTCCACAGATAAAGTTTGCTGATCCCTATTCTCAAGAACAGACATAGGGAAGAAGTCTTGTGGCTGAGTCTTAAATAAACTAGCAAGAAAAAGAAAGGGAGCCAGTGGAAGAGAATCAAATTAAAATTAAATATGCATCTGGAAAGCATGCCACCTCAGACGCTTAGGTTATAAAACCCAAGGAGGAGTTAGTTGGCAAACACATTAGGGAACACCACTGAAGCACTGCTGTTCGGCTTCTTAAACAGGGATATGCACTTCTCTGGGGATAGGTGACTGAAACCTAGGACCAAATAAATATGGCACATCTTCCTGAAATGTGATTTCACGCCAAGGATTTTTGGGGGAATGTTGGAGTCCAGAAGAATTATTCTAATTTAAAACTAAACAGCCATTTTATTGAGTAGAATATAAAATTTGCATGAATTTTTATATTCAAATCATGATTAAAATAACACTGCTTCAGGTTATAATCCCAGAGTTACAAATTCACTTTTCCTTTAAGGGAATATTAGCAGAAAGGTTTGGAAAAATATTGCATGGAATGCTCCAAAAAATGTTTCTGGGGGGAAATAACTGTCATCCTCAAGGGTGTTAATTTGAACCTGGGAAGCAAAAGTTATAACTCCCCTGTCAACTCCAATCTATTAGTAGTGTTTCCTTGGAACACCTTCATTGGGATGGGGGCTGAACCTATGTGTCTTGCTCAGAAGTCAAAGGAGTGTGATTAACAATGTATGCTAGAGCTGGAAGAGGTGTCGTGTGGCACTGTAATGATTCATTATAGATTAATATGGGAATCTGTCTAAATCTTTAACACACACTTGTCAGACTGTTCAATTTCTTAGATTTAATTTTTACCATCTACTTCTAAAGCCATATTTACCCTTAAATTGTAGCCTTCATGGTTGTAGTACTTCAAATTGTACTACTTAAATTGTAATACTTCAAAAAGTTCATAGAAAAATAGAATTGAAAGATAATACAAATCTTTCCATGAACTTTTCAAAGTATCCTTATATAGTGAGCATGTCCAAGTTTATCATAAAGAAACCCTTGAAGATTTTACAATAAAAATCATCTCAGCCCAGTCCTTCCTTAAGGGACCCATGGGTGAAGAGGATGTTAAAAGGGCATTCTATTCTATGTAAAAAAAATTCAGATTTTATTCTATAAGGAACAGAGAGGTATTCAAAAAGGAGAACAGAACAAATATGTTAATAGAAAAATAACTGGTAGACATATAAAGGACTAATTGGAGGGAGTGAAGCTGGGAACAGGAATGATGTTTAATAATAATGGAACAGTCCAGAAGAGAGATAAAGAGGACCAAGCCTAGGATAAAGAAAGCAAAGAGGTGGGGAGAAATTTCAGATATTTCCAAGGCAGACTCATTAAAATTTAGTAACTGATTAGATGTAGGGAACAATGGAAGTAAATGACAAATACAAAGGTCTTTGTTTACCCTATGAGGCAGATAAAGATATTAACTATTAAATGGGGAAGGCAGGAAGGGGAATAGTTTTGGTGGCAGGCATAGGTGAATATGCTGATCACTTGCTTGTTTGCTCTTAGATCTACCATCTGCATCACAGGGAACTACATTACCCAGACTCCCCTACCCACTGAGTTCTCAGCAGATTTGAGAAATGGCAGGCACTGGTGGAAGACTGGAGGCTGGGAGGTGGAGGGAAGTCAGGATATTTATTCCTCTCTCACTTTGCCTCAGGCTACATTTCTTATGATCAGATCATCTGAGATTTCAGCTCCTTCCAGACAAGCATTCTGTCCTCAATTCCTGCTCCCTCTGTAGTTATAGCTCTAGCCTCAGCTATAATTCTAACTCTAGCTGGGTAGCCTGGGCTTCTGGATTCTAGAAACCTCACCTCTTCCTGTTATCTCTCTTGCCCTAGGAGTGACGGTGGCTTCCTGTTGTTGCTAATCTCCAGGTTGTCTTTGCCAACCCATTTTGGCTTCCTGTCACATTTATCACTTGTGTGACCAATTCCTGGTGTTAAATTCCCTGTTTGAAATACCTAGGCTGGTTTATTTCCTTGACAGCACCCTACCTGATACAGCAATGAACTGAGTTTTGTCTGCATCACAAGGAGACTCAGAAATCGAGTGGATGTGAATCAATTCCCCTAAGAATAAAAGTTTTAGCAAATAATGTCCAGGCATTAAACACTGAAGGAACTCATACTTTCATCAATATTTCTATTTTGTTAAGAAATATTTTTTGAAAGTTGTATTAACTATCCAATGAAAGAAATAATAACAGGTAACAACTGATGTAATACTCATTCTGCTGTGCTGACCATACTTTACACATTTTATCTAATCCCTAAAACACAATCCATACATATTTTAGTGCTTAAAGCACAGCCCTACAGGCAGAAAATATTTTTTTTTTCTTTTTTGTCTTTTTTCGTGACCGGCAACGGATCGCAACCCTCAGTGTCGCGCCCGTACCGGACCAGGACTGGCAACGGGATTGCAACCCTCGGTGTTGCGCCCGCACCTCGCTCAGCCAGTGAGCAGCCGGTCTGTATGTGGGATCCGAACCCTCGGCGGGAGCGCCACCGCGCTCCCAAGCGGCGCACTGTAGCAGTGCGCCACCGGGCCGGCCCAGAAAATATTCTGATTCCCATTTTACAGATTAAAAAAGACCCAGAGAGATTGTTAATTTGTCCCAGTCCACTGTAAATCTAGATGGGAACTCAGGCAGTCCTGCTCTAAAATCCCTACTCTCAACCACTACACTGGACTGATTTATAGCTAGCTAGTGTCCTAGATGTAATTACCAACATAAGTTTTTAAAATTTTTTGTCTGCTTTTTTTTTAAAGGACCATTGTTAAAGTGTTGAATATTTTTTCTAAATTATCTCTAAAGTAAAAAGAAAATGTCCACAAAAAATAATTTTGAAGTTTTTTAATGCACAAAAAGAACATCCCAGAAACAACAGGTATTGACTTATTAATGATGAAGCACTATATAAAGGAGAGCCCTCCCCACTTAGTAAATAGGAATATAGTGTAAATAGACATGAAAGAAAGTGAACACTTTAGGATTAAATGCAAACCCTAAAGTTGTATACAACATTCATATATGGCTTATTAGCTCATAGCAATAATATTTTCGTAATGATGTATATGACCACTTATACTTATTGGTAAGATGCTTTTGACTCAAAAGTTAAACAAAAATGCTGAAGAGGTAGCTTTGCTGATGCAAGGTAAGAAAAAGGCTTTACCTTGCTTTGGTTGTTTCCTCAAAATTCTGCAACCATTTATTTTTTGTTCTAATTTTTCCCTGGATCAGCCAGGAACATGATGATACTTTTAGAAAAAAAAAAGCCAATTCACAACCCTGTAAGAACCACTTCCCCAAAGTGAATAATGATGTTTGTTAAAAAACTGCTCTGAAAGTCACCTGGGAAGTTTCTATAGGGTTCTTCTCTGTCTTGGATATGAAATAGATTCTGGCTCAACAGAGATCTGTTAAGATCTGCCCATCAGTTGTAGGAATTCAAATTCTATGCATGGGCTCATGATGGTAACTTCTTCAGTGACTCAAGAATATTGGAATTGAAAATCAGGAAATGCTTCAAATTGAAAAAAGAAGAAAAAAGTCAGAAATAAGTTTGAAAAACTGTCTAGCTGGCCTGAGAAATTGCCTGATGAGAACTACAAGTGGCTGCTTGTAATTCCTCATGTTTTCCGTTGTGTTCTATAAGTCATCACATCTTAGCTTCAGAGAGCGTTTGGGCTCTGATTGCCAGATGTCACGTGCTGCCTGTATGTGGGGGACACATGGAGTGGGGAAGGTCTTTCAATATTCAAACTCTTTGACACTGGTCATTTGACTGTATATACAAACTAATTTATCCTATTCTTACAATGAGAAATAAAGTCACCAAAAAAAAAAAATTTTCAAGAGGCAACAAAACGCTTGTCAGTTCACAAAACTAGAACACTCAAGGTACTGGACAATGGTTACGAACCACTAGAAACAAAGTTACATATTAATCAGGTATGACTTGTTACTCACAAGAAAGCATAAATATACAGTAAATAAGAGCTTTATATGTAGCTCCAGCAGAATATGTACATTACAGCTGCTGTGAAACTGAGCAGAAATTCCGTGGCATATCCCCAGCTAAAAAGCAGTTTCATCGCATGACAGTTTGAAGGTAACAGATGCTGAGAACACCATGTGGTAACACTAAGCAGATATCCACGTAGACATTTATCCTTGAAAATGCACAATGTGAGAAATAAAGGTCACAAGTGAATAGCGCTTTGCCTGCCGAGCATCCTCTTTCACATAAATAGGCACAAGTCCGTTCTCTGGTGGTGGTCTGCAGCTTACACCTCTGGTGTGTCTGTGGTGTCAGGGACAGATTCTCACAGCCCACACTGAACCAAGTCATGGGCTGCACACTTACTCCCGCCTTCACGGTCTCCAGATTTGAATCAAAGCATAAATAGCACAGAGGCTGTGCGTGTGGCTCTTCCTTTCACAATATTACTGGAAATGGATACTGGTCAGAGCAGCAAAAATGCTGCACGCCAGTGTGCAGGAGTAGAGAGTAGCTTTGTGCACTTTTGCAAAAATCCCCCAGAATCCACCATATATCTCTTTCCTTTTACTGGTTAGCTCTGTCTGTAGCTAGGAAGACGCTGTGTTGCTCCTGGGCTCTTTCTATCAGCTTCCTCTTCTTCTTCTTGTTCCTTTTCTCCTTTGCCTTGGGTGTTCTCTTCCCTACAGTGGGGGAAAGAAGGAAAGAAATGAAGAGGTGTCAGAAAAGGCTCTTTCTAGGAAGGAAAATACAAAACACCAAGAGTTTTGCACAAAGCCCATCTGGAAAACATCACTCACAGAAAAAGCCTCAAAGAGAAAATTGTTCACATTAATTTTGATGGAATAATAATTTACTAAATTGGATATGCTGTCTAAAACAGAGACTGATCTTCCTGTTACAGGGAACTGGCATATTTAAAAACTTCCCAGCAGCCTGATCAGTCTTTCAAATATCATCCTGCCACAAAAATTCCATTTATCCCCTCCCACTTTCAACAACACTACCCTTTACTAGACATCTTTCTACAGCTGCACATGCCAGTGGGTCAAAAGAAAATAAGCATCTATCTACAGTAAATATACCAGAAGTTTCAAACTCCCCTCTCCCTGCCCCAAGGGGGGCAAAAACGTCTTGCTTCTTAACATTGTTCCCTCTGTGTTCTACAAATGCCAATATAGGAAGTGACATATGTGTAATACTTTATTTTCTATAAAAATTCATGAGAACATCATTCATATGTACCTTATTGCTTCTTATCCAACTCCCCTAGACAAGCTATTATTGAGAGCAAGATGAATTCTTGTTTGTTTTGATGAACTGGTGGTATGTGTCTTATTCTATTTCCCCTCTTTGCCTTGGACACTCAGAAACCCAGACACAAGCTAAATAGTTGAGGTTTTCCTCCATCAGGAGTTTTTGGATGCAGTTTTCCCTTTGCCTGTGTTTTACTTCTTCCATCATGAAGAATGTGTGGTTATGGTTTATAGCCTTACTTTATAAGGTCTCAACATTTCTTTGCAAGTATCTATACATAAGACAGTGAGAAAAAAACCATAAGAAATATAAGGCATTTGCTTTTGGTCCATTGCCCTCTTTGGGTTCTCATGGGATTGTTAGAACAGAAAAGGGCTTTTAAAGTCTTCTGCATTTTAGAGAATGTAAATCACCACTATACACCTTCAGTACAAGATTTTTCCTCAGTGGACTAGGAAAAAATCTCAGTTGTTCTTCCCTTCGTACCTGCTCTACTTCCAATCTTATGAGTATTGTATAGTTCTATAAGACTTAAGTTTTCCCTTCCTGTAAAGTGTAGCTATTGGACATCTCAGTAATCAGTACCGGAAACAGGACATTGAGTTTCATTTTCTTCACCCTTCCCATACCTGCACAACTCTGTATCCCAGACCCTTTCATAACAGGGCTATAGCTGGCCAACTTTACAATCCAGATAATGGAACAGGTGGATGATGTAAAAAATGACAAATCAGAGATTAGGGAATCACAGGCCTTAGGAAACAAAGTCATACAAGATTAAGGGAGTTATGAGATTTCTAAATAAGGGAGATGTTTCTCACTTTTCTTTCTGATCAGAAAGTGTCCGTTTTGTTTGAGGATGGAAAATAGTCTCATTCTTCAAGACCCTAACACAGTGATTGGCACATAGTTGATATTCAATAAATGTTTGCTAAGCAAAAATTTTATCACAAGAGATAAAGAATAACTTATTATTATTATTATTATTTTTTTTTGTCTTTTTCCGTGTCTGGCAACGGATTGCAACCCTCAGTGTTGCCCCCGTACCGGACCGGGGACCGGCAAACGGGATTGCAACCCTCGGTGTTGCTCCCGCGCCTCGCTCAGCCAGTGAGCGGGAACCAGTCTGCATGTGGGATCCGAACCCTCGGGCGGGAGCACCACCGCGCTTCCCAAGCGGCGCACTTATCCAGTGCGCCACCAGGCCGGCCCAAGAATAACTTATTTTTAATAGGACACTACATTAAAATAATGAGAACATGATCATGCCCTCAAAGGTCCTTGAAGTTAACTTCTGGTTCTCATTAAATTCTGGCATTAATGTTATAATGGCATTTTGCCATCTTTAAACGTAGTTAACCCTACCCAATGAAACCTTAGTCAAAGCCATAATTAATCAAAGCAGCTGTAAAGTTACAACTACTTAGTAACATTATCTCTAATGATGAGACACATCTAATGAGGGCAAAGATAAAATGCTTAATATAAAATAGCGTATTTATAAAGTTTTATAAAAAAGTCTTTCTTAGTTCTATATTTTCTCTAAAACACAAAAATCTTACTTGAATAAAATCATTGCTGACTACATTTTAAAAATTCATTGTTTATGCTTAATTTATATAAAGCCTAGAATTTCTTTTAAAAACAAATTGAAATTAAGTGAATGGAAAACTAAAGCTAACAGTCCTAGATTTTTAAGTGTTTTGTTAAAAATATACTGAATATATTTTATTTAAAGGCTTTTCACATCCGTGGTTTCAATTCTTCATGTAAAATTACGTAGTTGAAAGTTAAATGTGTACTACTTTCACTAACAGTAAATCTATGCAAAACGACTAGAAACACTCATTTTAAAATGGCCAATTTCATGTCATTTACACAATATATTGTTCTGATGTAATTGTCAATATCCAATGATCTTTGTGTTTGCTGGCTGATATGATGTTGTGTAATAGGAAGTTACTCAATACTTGCATAGAACAGTTGGTATCCTGGCCAAAAATTCAGCAATGCTTTTGAAAATTTATTTAAATAATGTTTCAAATTGTACAATTATTCCTTTGGCAATAAGTTATGTGTTATCAGTTCCAACCAGCAATGTTTTGGCGGCCCTAGTTAAAATCCTAAAGATTTTCTTCGGAAGTCTCTTTTAAATGACACCTCTTTGCTATTGTTTGGTTGGTTTTATTTTGGGGTAGTTGCATTTCTTGTGTAGGATATATTGCAAATACCAAAGAACTAAAATGGTTAGCCAAGATTTTACCACAGACAGGCCTAAATTAACTGAAAATATTTTGTGGTCCATAGTAGATTGTTCTGACTTGAAGCCCAATTCAAAGTAATAAAAGAATATTAAAACATAATTTAAGGTATAGAAAGAATCTTGCATACATTTCCTTCTGAACTTTACTAAGATTTTCAAACATGAGAAAAGAAATTAATCAGTAATATTAAAGCTAACAAAAAATATATTCCCGTTCTTATCTATATATTTGGAAATAAGTTATATTGGACATACAAGCATGTTAATTTCTGCTTCCACTTAATTTCTTTATATCTGTGGATATGAGATTAGACTCACAGAGCGACTTCTAGACTTCACATTGGTGCTTATTCTCAAGCACATACATACTGTACAGGAAGAATTTAAAGGCAAGCGTATGATACCAGTCAACCAAAGAGCAATTCAACTCATGGGTTTAACTTTCCAGTTCCCAAGAGAAGACTTGGAATATATCTGCCTAAGACTTTTAAAAAAAAAAAGCGAGTTTTATGAGATTTTCAGCCTCCAGCATGTCTAACTCTAATGAAAAATTCTGCAAATCTTTATCCTGGGTGCTATGAAAATGCAGTGAGTTTGACAGATCACAACTGAGTGAATCTCTTCAAGATCAGGCAGAATCAGTTCTCCAGAGCAGCTCTTTTCAGCACTGGTATGTGGATGGAAGAAGACTGGGTCAGACATTACTATTTTTAAGAAAGGCAACGTGATTTAATAAAGGCCACCTCTGGGAGGAAGAAAACCTGGTAGCCAGGCATAGTCCTGTAATTGAGATGTCTGGTAAGGTATTATATTTGGAACTCTTAGTTTCTACATTCATAGAATGAAGATGCTATGTCATCTTTCACTAGAAAGTCTTGAAAAAGTGTTCCCAGGATGAAAAAAAGACATGTAAAATATCACTGGCAAGACAGGATTACCATCAAAATGAATGAAGTTGGAAAGATACTATCAAAGCTACACTCTCACCAACATGATTATATTCACTTGCACACATGTGGAAATGGTCCAGGGAGATAAGCTGTCAACTCTTCTACAGAGAAAGGTGAACAATTCCTTATGGAAATACTAACACTCAGCTGTAGCTTACGGCTGCTAGAATGAGGATAGATTATTTTGAACCAAGATATCAGTCAGACTCATAAATTACATGAAGCTATGAAAATACCAACCCCACTGCCAGTCAGACCCTGATTCCATTCTTTCCTAAGTTCCCAAATTCAAGGAAGGTCATCAAATGGTTTTTCCTCTCATAGGTGTAGGTGAGAGTATTTGCATCATTGGCACAACAGTCCTGTACATCCCGCAGAAAGGCTCAGAGGCATCTAAGGTCTCCAGAATGATTACTGTTTGTTTTGAGAAAGATTTTCAATGGGTAAACATGATAAAAGAAAATTGAAAGGAAAATATAAGAAAGATAAAAGCTTCTCTACATAGACACACACAACCTGAAGAAAGTAAGCCACAATTTTGATGAATGTAATTAATTGTAACTACTGTTGTTATAGGCACAACTCTAACAAAAGTAATCACTTGAAACCAGGACTGATTTTTACTAAATGTTGATGAGTTTGTGATGCTCTGACTTGAAACCTGGGCTTCACTCCATTATGAAAATCACCATGGAAACTTGGGGATCACCTCAGAGAGACCGTCATCCTTCAAAACAACAAAGACTTAGGGACAAAAAGCCTGTGGAACCACCAACCTGGCAAATCTTGTCATACTTCAGAAGACACTCTGGAGGCAGAACTTAAGATGTTGCTTCCACTTCTAAAGTCACAAGGACCGAGTTGTACACCATGAATAGAAATCAGACCATTTCTTTCTTTCTTTTTTTTTTAATATGGGCAACTTGAGTTTGCCCAAGAATGAATAGCAATAGGGATTTTTTTTTTTTATTTAAGAGTGATTAATGAGTCTCTGGAAAAATGCCAAGTGGTTCCTAAAATATTTCAAAAGCTCATAATAAAAATACACAAAGTACCTAAATACAACTCATAAAGGAAATAAAAATACCTAAACAATCAATTCTTACAATTAAAAGTGCCAAATAAAATGAGATGCCACTGAAAAGATCTTAAAAGTAAAAATACCTAAAGCTGGTAAGAATGTGGTGAGACAGGAATCAGGATGCATTAAGAA